AACAATCACTTGACTATGTGCACAAAAGTAGCTCTGATGGAACTCTTATCGTGTATCAATTCTTACTGTGCCTTTCGCCTTTCGTCACTCAAGTATTTCCACTCAACTGGAGAGGATTTTCAACTCATTAGAACCCAATTAAACTTTGTATTTGCCACTGAACCAGCCACTTCCGCTTTGACAAATATCCGCTTGTCGCTCCTTATAGAAATAACTAGTTGATGTATTAGCAATGATTTTATAAGGCACTTCAACTGGCAGCCAGGTGCTCGACTTAGTTGAGGCTCCACCGAAATAATGAGATGCAAATGCACAGAGATAAATATGTAACTATAAACGGCCAAGCGGTTTGGTTTGGTTTTCTCGAAGCGTTGAAGCCTGCTCAAGCGACTGGTAAATCAGTTTTCCACTCAACACTTTAGCGAGGCTGTGTGCTCCAGCTTTACCATCGCCACTCCACTCCATCGCACACTTCCTGCACTGGAAAAGTGATGTATGTAATGGGATTCAGCCTTGGCTGATCCCAGCAAAGATATGTATGTGTGAGGCGAGTGCGCCCACAGCTGGCTGAGATAAATCCAAAATGGTTGCAAAGGAAAAGTAGACATAATTTCCACTGCCCTCCTGTTAGTCCTCGTTTTCCAGAGCGAAAATGTAATTCCATTTTCCGGGCACTAAACTAATGGTCATCTGTGCTGTTTGCAGTGGAAAAGCAACTAACATTAATTAGAAAACATTTCACAACTTTATATTCTGTGTGCGCTTTGTGCGCATTTCTTTTCACAGAAATGTACAAATAAATGTAAATAAATGTACCTCTGCATGTACACACATGTACGAGTATGTGTAAGTGAAATAAAATGAAACAAATTCACAATAAACAATAAACAAAACTTTGTTGACTCGGCCAGGGCTTAGGTCAATATTTGTCTGAAGAGATTTAAATGTTTTTCCCCATGCCCTCCAGTTATGCTCGAGTGGTGGTGTCAAGTGCAGGACTGGTCCATTACATGTATTCATTTATGGCACTTAAAGAGCAGCCCATTCATTGGCACAATTAAGAGCCAGAGATTTGAGGATTTTCTCTAGCAGATTTACTGATTTAAAGGATCAAGTTGTGAGCCCAGCGGGGCAGCCACTTAGGCACTTATGTAATGCCAGGCCACACAAAATTATTAACAATTTCTTGGCGCAGAGTGCAGTGCAAAAAGGGGAACGAATGACCAGCAATTTGCATGAAGGAAACCCTTCTCAGGGCATTCCATGTACATTCCCAATTTTAATTCCCACAACTCGCATAGAAAAAGTTTTCTTTTTGGGGCTGGGCAAATGCAAATGCAAATTTCATGCATGCGCTGATTAAAATCTTAAATTCTATTAGCCCCCAGGCAGCACAACACAGAAATGTCCATAAACTTTGTCAGCCACAAAAAAAAGGGAAAGCAAAGGGCATAAAATGTTTCCACCTTCAACTTGTCCACTGCCAGGGACACGAGCTTAAGGCGGTATGAGGACAAGGACACGAATAATGCTCGTGTGTCATATTTAAACCCTCTTGAAGTGGGGTAACCATAAGCTTAGCGTGTAGCTGTGTGGCAGGTAAAAACTTGAGGGAGAGAGAAAAGAAATATTGCACATTCGGAGCAGAGAACTTTGCTTTGTGCAGAGTGCACAATCGATAATCTGTGATCTGTAGTCTATAAGCCACTCTCAGGGGGTGAACTTCAACTGTCGAACCGACTTGGTGTTTGCTTAATCTTTTGTGGGGAAATGCAATTAGCGGACAAAGTTCAAGGTGGCCAAGTAGCAAGTAGCAGCAGCAGCAGCACTAGTAGTTATTAAAATGATGTATAATAGTTAGTTGGGCAAGATTAACGATAAGCGAACGACTTCACTCGGTTTGAGTGTGCTTTTAATTACCATCCCGGTGGTCGGGCCTTTGCCTTGGGCTTTGGCAATTAAACTCGAAGCGTGTGGAGGGAAACTGCACACTAAAAAATTCTTCACTCATTGCTGGACATTGCACAACAATTTAAGGCCACGAGTCGGGTCGGCTGCTGCTGCTGCTGCTGGTCAACCATGCACTTTGCCTAAAATTGCGCAAATCGAATGTTCCCCGCGTTAACCAGCAGCCAGATGGCTTCATTCTGCCCCTCGGGCTGCACTTTCGCCAGCTAAATCATTTGGTAAAATGCCACACAGACCGCACACCGCACACCGCACACCACAGACCGCAAATAAAATCAACGCCAATGCCGTTGGCATTGATTCCGATTCCGATTCTAATGCGAATTTCGATAATATTCGTATTATCCGCAGATGCGCGCTTGCGGGAGCAAAGTTCATGATGTTCGGTGGCTGAGGGGATTGATATTGCTTCATCATCCGTTGATCTATTAATCAAGTTAATGGATTTCACTTGATGCCACTTGTGACTCATTTCAATGTGCTTTTTCTTGACTTGTGCCGCCGCATAAACTGCAGCAGCAGCAGCAGCAGCAGCATCGGCTTGGAGTTGCAAAATAAATACAAAAATTCGCTGTAATTAAAATATTCGCCATTCGTTGAATCTGCCGCAGCATGACAACAAAGAAATGGAAGAGGGGTGAGCTAAGGATAAACTTACCTGAGCGGGCACCAGCGGGATGGCCGACTGCAGCAGACAAAGCACTCCGATAAAGGCAAACATTTTGCGCATCTGGAAAGCAAATCAAAAACCAAATCAATTCCAGATGCTAGAGAAAAGAGACTTGAAGTCAAGACTCCAGCAAGCAAATTGCTTTGTCCTCCACTTTTGTATGCGAAACGCGTTCTTGGCTGTCGTTCCCAGAAAGAATTCTTCCTCGAGCCGAGTCTTTGGGGGAGCGGCCACCAGACGGAGCATAATTACGATGAGGCTCTCTCTCTCTCTCTCGCGGGATCTTAATTAATTAACGCCACTGTATGTACCTGTTGTTGTGTTTTTTTTTTTTAAGTTGGCAAATCTGTCGATTCTGTCGAGCGAATTTGTGGTACGTTGTTGTCGCGCCGCGTTGTCGGGTCGCACTGAGCTCGAGTCGTCGGCCTGGGCCCGGCTTAAACTTGAATTCTGTGAAGTGGATTGGAATCGAAGCGCGCTGCCCGCCTGCCCGATGTCTGGTGTCTGCCTGTTGTCTATCCGCAGCCCCTTGTCTCTGTTGTTGTCTGTTGTAATGCCCCGCGAAACTGGAATTGTGGCGCAATTAATATGCAGGCGTCTATTTATATAGCATTAATCTGTTCCGTTTTCTGGCTTTCTTTCAAATTAATACTGTATTGCTCTTGGGCTGTGCGATGATGCAAGCTTATCTCAGCAAAGAACTGGCTACGATCTATTAGCACCTCAGTGCCAGCAGGTCTAGCAATTAGGCGAGAACTTGCAAGTAATCTAAACATGTGGATGGCTAACAGATGAGACCCTCTGTCTGTGGTATAGGATTTCATGCTGGTCGAAGCTGGAGAACTAAATGACTGAACAACAATTGAATTGAAGCCACAAATGGACACATTCTCAGACAGCATTACGTATACGCTGCTGCTGCTGCTGTTGCACTTCACGCTGTGGCAGTCGTGGCAAACCGGTTGGAAGAATTGGCTCCAATCTGCAGTTTTGCTTTTATCTTTACTTTTTTTTAGGCTGGTCTCTCGTCACTCTTCAATGGCCTCAAAGCTTTTGGGCTGCGACTGTGGCAACTGACAACTGGGCAGCTGGGCATAACGAGTAATTCTGCTGCAGGTAGAACTCCCTACAATTCGAAATTCGCATTGCGGTGAGGGATTGCAGTGAAGCGTTGGATGCGGTGTGGCGGAAAGAGCAAACAAAAGAAGTCTGCCTGAAAGTTTGCTAATTTCTATCGAGCCGAGCGCCAGACAAGAGCCCCATGGCATTTGCATTTCTCTTTGGGGCCGTCCTTCCCCAGCGTGGTGAAACGTGGCCCAGCGTTGGCACCAGCGTTGGGCATTCTTCTTTTGTTCAAACCATTTGATCATTAGGTATTCAAATGGCAAACAGAACTGCCGGCCACTGCCACTGCCACCCATCATCTGTGTTAATGTGTTTCTGCCTGCTGCCTTCTGCCACTGCCTGTGTCTCCAATTTCTGGACAAAATCCGCTGTGCACGTGCTTGTTAATTTAGAATGCGATGGGCAGAAACCAAATGCCACCAAAAAGGGTCCAACAAGCAAAATATTTATAATGAAATCCAATTATTTTCGATTTGGTTTTCGTAGGTCCTTTTGGATCACACATCAATTACTTTAGGGATTGCCCAATTGCTGTTTGCTCGATTTTCTTTTATCCGAAAGTCTTTTCTTTTACACTACAAATTTAATTAAATAGTCATTTCTCATTTTCCAGCGATTTCCATCAGGAAATCCAACAAAGTCCATGATGAGCATTTGATAATCGCTTGCTCAACGATTGCTTTGAGTGGGGGGTCAGGAGGATGAGGTTATCTGCTGTCGATTGAAGCCGTTTATTGACTTTTTGCAGGCAGGCCATTGACATGTTTACATTTATGAACATATTTTTTTGCATAATATTTATATCATTTATTTTATACACACACACAAAGGTGTGTGTATTTTTAGCAGATCAGCGCACTATTTTCGTAGCGCTGCCACCTCTGTCGTGTCTTTAATGTTGCATATTTAAGGTGCACAAAAGATTAAAGCAGTAAAATGGGGCACAAGACAGCATTATTTTCTTTATTGTATCTCGTAGAACTGCTTTCAATATTTTCCATTGATTCGCAGATTTGTAATAACTTGCAGAATATTTGATTTTTTTTTCCCTTTCGTAATATCTTCTTTTTTATATTCCCCTCACATAGAAGAGTTGTCAGCAAGCAGTTCACGGCGGCCGCTTTTAGGCGCATTCAAAATTCAAGCAAAGCAAGCAGTTCAGTGTGATATTGAACCACTTGCAAGCAGTACAATTGGCTTGCAGATTTTGAATTTGCATTCTTAATACATTTATTTTAAACATACATAGATATACTTTTTTTGGATTTTCTTTTTTGGGTCGGACTTAAACGCCCTTAAGCTAGTCTTACAACAAAGTCACATATATCACAAATGTCAAACGTTACGAAACAAACAAACATAAATGCACACAAAACAAACACACGCTAAACACCCGAAAATGCTCCAACATTCATCCAAAATTACTAACTAACTAATCGGGATTTAAGTTACGACATCTCCTCGCGCATTTCCCTGCGCTGCGACGTCGAGTACTTCGAACCGGTGGTGGTGGTGGCGCTGGGATTGCCCAAGGGCAGGAGCGTGCCTGCCGCCACAGATTTTTGTGACACTTCCGTCGTTGCCTGCCGATAGCCGCCGGTCAGACGTCCCACCATATTGTTGACAGCGCGCAGCGTCGAAATGGGAATCTGCGTGAAAGTTCAAATGCAAAGTCAGCAATGCTCTCGAAGGCAAAATCCGTTTGCGGAGCTCACCTCGAAAATGCTGTCGATTAATGGGCGCAGACTGAAGAGGGGATAGCTGGGCTCCGTGTTATGTGCGGGCTGGCTGTCACCAACCGCCAGCATGGCCGCATTGCTGCTGGGCTCAGCAGATGCGCCTGTTCCGGCTCCTGCTCCTGCTCCTGCCGCCAGGCTGCTGAAGAGCAGCGCTGCATTCTGCTGCAGGCTGTTCATAGAGGAAGGACGCTGTTGGTACTGTCCGTACTCGTGGCTGGGGTAGAGCAGCATATTCTGCACTGGCATCGGTTGCAGCATCGTCTGAAAAGATCGGAATTCAGATTTTAATTGGTGTACGCCAGAGGGCACAATGCCGAGTGCGCTCCACTCAATAGTGCCCATAAAAATCACTTGATATAAAACTTTATTGAGCTGTGAGCAGGTTTCCACTTACTTCGTTCAGCAGCACAAGCTCGTGACGCTGACCGCGTGCATAGCCGGAGACGCGTGTGAACTCCGTGACCAAATGGGACATCACCACCAGCAGGACGAACCAAACGAATCGGTCCATGGCTGTGATGATTATCTGCAAAGGAAGGAAAGAGTAACAATTAGATATGCAGAATGATGTATGATGGATGACAATACATCATTGTTGAAACTCATTCTGTTGCAGCGATGATCTTGGCTGGCATTTGTTGTAAATGCATTTGGTTGTCGCACTTGAATGCCACTTTCAGGTGGCGCAAAGTCAAGTTTCTGCTGCCCGCTTCACAACAACCGAACCGATCTCCACTGTTGCCACTTGGCCAATGTTCTGGCCGGGCAACCCAGGCCCCGAATGCGACTCATGGCTCACGGACCAAACGTAGGCCAAACATATCAAGTTTGGAGTGTCGTGCCGTAGCTCTGATAGAATTTGCTACCCGCCAGTGTCTGCTTGTTGCGGCTGCTGCAACTGCGACTGTTGCCATTGCTGCTGCTGATGCTGGGAGCCGATTCTAAAATGTGGATTAGACCAAGGCCAACTTGCCGCGTGGCATTTGCCAAGCGTAACCAGTTTTGGTTGCCAGTCGGTGTCTGTGTTCGCGGATGCAACGAGCTTTTCCATTTTGGCAGTGAGTGAATTTTCCCAGCCCCTGCCCAAATATGTGTGTTTCAAGCATTTCGAAAGCCGCCACCCAAGGCGAAAGGTTCAAATCCAATGAACTTTGAGCCCGCATTTGGAAACGGCAAAAACATCTAGATACACGGCTCCAACATCCATATCCAACATCACCGACTATCTGTCTGTGTTTGCTGTGTGTCTGGGTCTTAATGTACGCAAGGCAGAAATCAAAAGCATTAAAGCCAGTGCAGGTCGGGTCAGGTCAGGCATGCGGAGGGCAGGGGGAGGGCATCCAACGAGCCATGACAATCGGTCAGGCGACACTGAATTTTAGCCAGAGACATGGTACAATGGGGACGGCCGGCCTCTGCAATTGCGACTGTCTAATTGTTGCTCGAAAAACAATTAAACGAGCTTGGGTTTTGTTTATGCCGCAAACACTTTTGAGATTCTGTGGCAGCCCTGACACGAATTGCCAGCAAGGTGCAAGCACACAAGGCAGCAGCATGTTGCCGCTAATTAAACAAATAATTCAGCATAATCATCACCCTGACCCTTGACGCACAAAACCGACAAAGAGTCGATAAATATTCTGCATGGCTAAAATGGTTTGTTTTATTTGTTTAAAACTCCATAAAACGAGTCACAGTACAAAATGTATTAACATTTATTTAGGAGTCTAATCATGATTCACTCGAGTGGAAACATAATGAAAACAAACATCCTATTTTGATATGCCCCTTTTAGATCTAAATCAAATTCAGACTCCTTTTAAATTCCGTTTCTGGTGAAATCAACTTTTGCATAATAATGCGCATAGCAAGTGGACAATGATTATTTCAGTTACATATTTTCAGCTTCACAGGCAACTCTTTTGTGCATAAATATTCTCGGAAATACAACAAAAAAAAAACTCTGAATACATTTCCATAATATATATTTGTGGAACTATGCCAACAATTTATCCCAAATGGAAAAGTTCTCGTTCTCTGTAATTAAAGACACATCAAAACTATTTGGAACAAATATAAATTACAGGACAAACTGCCAGTGGAGCAGGGTCCGAGGGTCCGAGGGTCCGAGTGGGTGGAAATTGAGCTGCTCTTGCCTTGATTTATATGCAAACACATACAGAAGTACGCAGTTACACAGATGCACACGTAGACACGTACACACGTACACACTGGCAGACTAAGTGAATTGTGCGTAAGAATTCATTTTCTGTGAGATTCTATTTGCATGACAAAAACCCTCAAATGCCACAAAACCCAATAGGGGGTGAGAGAGGTAGACAGAGACAGAGAGAGAGAGAGTAGTTTTAAATATAGAATTCCATGCTGGTTCCGGTCTTTGCTTTCCCTCCTGCTGCATGTTGCAACTTGCAATACAAATTCAATTTGTTTCCATTCGACCAAATGAAATTACGGTCAAAAGCACTATGAAGTATTTGCGAAAGAGATTTGCGTGTGGCCCAACGGTGCCTGGGCGGAACGAGTTTTGTTTTTTTTGCCTGACACACACACACGAGGCGTATGAGCTATGCTGGCCCCTCATTTCATGTCACTCATACGCCTTATTGGCGACCAATTGTTGCCATCGTTTGGCAGCACTTCAGCTTGAGTGCTCGCTTGCGTGTGGGTGTGGATTTGGGTTTGGGTTTGGGTTTGGGCCACTGACATCTTGTTGATTCGAGCGCGCAAGAATCTTTTCGTTATTCTTACTCAGAATTATGGATAAATATTAGATGTGCAAACAGAAGCCTGTAAACGTGGGCCAAGCAAACACACAAAAGCCACGCTACCATTTTGTGGGCGCTAACCGAGCGTTGGCGTGGCTGCAGCAAGGATACATGCATACACATCTCGGCTCTAAGTACATCCAGCAAACAGCAAAAGAGATTGAAGAAGTTGAAGATTCACCAACCTCAGGCGGTCGTCTATAAAAAAGTTTCTGCTTGCCGACAGTCAATAAACGTTAATTACTTTGCTAACAAAATGCCAGAAGTGGGGTCTTGAGTGGTGGGTGGGGTGGGGTAGGGGAAATTGTGTCGGCTTTTGGGGCGGGTGTCAGAATCAGCATCGACTCTCACTCATTTCCCTATCCAGGTAATTATAGTTTCAGTCTACATATCAATTTGCGTAATCAAAACGAAATGTTTAACTTTTGCAGACAAGTTGAAAAGTTATAATTATTTAAGGCACAAGCAGTGCCCGTGGTTTTTGGAAACTGCTTAACTAGCGTCATGGGACTTAAAGGCTGCAAGCAGTTGGGGTAAAATGATGTCAAGGGAATCCTAAGCAGTGCTCATTCTTGCCTGTAATTTTTGCATTATTCAACTCTTTATTTCTTTAACTTTTTCACTCTTTCCCGCTTCGCCAGCCATTGACCTGCGTTATTCATTTTGTTTGCTGATTTCTTTGATTTCCCTCAATTTCACTCACAATTAGCCACATTTTTAATTAGTTTATAATTAGCATTTGATTTTTCTTTCCTTTCGCATCGTCTCGTCTCGCTGCCTACGCATTTCTTTGTCCGATGGCTTGGGGCCAATGCGAACTTTGTATTTGTTGTTTTTCTCTCAGTGTGCTTGCTTTTGGCTTTTGCTTTTGCTTTCGTTGGATGTTTGTATTTTACTGTTGCTTTCTATTGAGTTTTCGCGATTTGTTTTTATGTCATCATCGCGCCTAGAGTCCGAAGCCGAAGTTGATCCGAACGAGTGGTGCCGTGGGCCCTGCAGCTGTTTGTTTCCCGACTTTGCCGAAAATTAATACTAATTTATTCTAATCATTTCAAATCCAATATTGAGCCTGTGCCTGGGTACTGGTTATGGGTGTTCGTTCTGTTTTTCTGGGCTGTAGGCTCGGGGCCAAAAGGCTTAGCCAGAGCAGCACCAGCATCAGCATCAGCGGCAAAAGCAAAAGCAAAAGTGTTTAAAACGAGTTCTCTCAAACATGCCCGCTGTTTGTTTATGCACTAATTGTTTTTATTGATTATTAATTTGGATATTTTGCGACTTGGCTGGGCACTCACTCACAGGATAGGTATAGGGAAATGGATGGGACGGGATGGTGTGGTGTATAGCCATTTGACCTCTGCGAGTTCTTCCATAAATTATGCTTTTGTTTCGCAATTACAATTTCCCTTTCGTTTCCCTTTTTTTTTCCACCCAACCAGCGTTTGCTCTGTGGGATTTATGTCGTGGCGCGGTCCCCTGTTCCACGGATTCAAGCAACAGTTTCGTTTGGCTTCCAGTTGGTTTGGTTTAATGAGGCAGCACTAATTAGCTGCTGCTGCCAGCCAGGGCACTCATCAGAAGTGCCTGCGGGCGACTTTATAATTTATTTCTATATATTCTTTTCGTATTTCGTTCTCCACTCTCCCCTCTTTTCTCTATGTCTGACTGGCTATTTTTTTTTTGGCAAAGCAGGAAACTCACCTCGTTTGTGATGTAGACACTGCGTGCTGGTGCTGTATAAGCCATTTTGGCAGCTTATGGGAACTTAGAGTGGGAAACGCGGCCAGAACTATTGCCAGAGAGCTTCAATGCGAGAATTCTGATAAGTACAAACATGCGAGCGGCTGCGCGACGACTGGCAGCGGGCAGCGCATGCGCTGCTTATATTTCAGCACGTAGCCCACTTTTACAGCTACAACTACAGCTGCACTCTGCCTTGCCTGCATTCAATGTTAAAGTTTGCACATGATCGAAGAGAGCGTAGGACAGAGAGACAGAGAGAGAGAGATCACGCGAGAGAGCATTTCTTTGCACAGCTTTCTCGCTGCCGCTGCTGCTGCTGCTGCTGATGATTCCATGTGCTGCTTTTAACCGTAAACTGGTTTAGGAAAAGCTGACAGTCAAGCTTTCAATGTAATTGTCGGCCTGACACACTTTTCGCTAGCATCGCCCACGGGTATGGAGAACTAGCTTCAGCTTGAGTTTCAGTTTCAGTCGATTTCTCACCGCTGCCAATGCCAAAGAGAGAAAGAGAGAGAGAGAGAGAGTCCACAGAGTACGAGTATCGGTAGTTCATTGCAGTTCACTGAACCTACCAGCTCTGGCCCGGCTCACCCTCGGTCTGACCGAGTTTCGATGCCAGGTCTCGTTCCACTACAATAAAAACCTATATTTCAACTGATAATAATGATGATCACGATGATCACAATGAGGATGATGATGATGGGTTGTATGTGTACTTCCAACTGGGATCTACCGGAACCGCCTTGAACTCATCGGGCGGCCTGACTGCATACTAAATTATGAGTTCCGCACTGAACCAGAAATCCAGCAGCAACCCAAAATTGGAATTAAATATGCAAAAATGAACCAGTTGCAACTGAGTTGGGGGATCGGGGGGTTGGCTTTTATGAGTATGGAAATAAACCAACAAATATTTGTGTGCTAAAAACAGTCATACAAGCTGAATAAAACCCAGAAAAGAGTTGCAGTTGCAGAGACGGGGAGGCATAAACTCACATTTCCATACCTTCAGGCTTTCTATCAATATTGTTTCTTCGCTTTGATGTATGTATGATGTACATATTTGCACAGTACACTATTTGCTTGGAGACCGGGCATGATCTACCTCAATGTGCTAATTGGAATCAACTCGTTATGGTATTTACTTAATTATTGTACATTTATGAACTGGTAATCAACGGGCATGCAGCAGAGATCTTTAGCATTGCCTGCCAGACACGTGTTTTATCCCTTTGACTGCTTAACCTGTGCACTCGCCAAGCAAACAAGATTTATAAAGCATTCAAAAGGGAATGAATCACGTTGAACCGGGCTGTGAGTCAGTGCCACCTCCACTTCCACTCCCTTGCCCGCAGTTTGCCCTTGCTAAATATCAACAGACAAGTGGTAGGGAAAGGGGCATGGGGAGAGGCAAATGTTTGACCGTAGTTTGTGCTGCTGTCTGATGAGGAGGGTCTATAAGCAGATGCGGCTATTTGCATTTGTGTTTTTTCGCCATTCAATTCATCAATATTTGTTTGTCAATTTTACAAATTGTAAACCAACACTCAGCCATAGCCATAGACACACACGAACACACAAGCACACGTCTTAGTTGTCGTCGTAGCCGATAGCCAATGGCAACAAACTGCAATCCAACAGCACCTAGTGACCCTCAACTTGAACTAGAAAACCAAATAGCCGGGCAACACAAAGCGTTAAATTGAATTCTATGTATGTTCGACTGGTCGTTGGCCGTTGCTTGTTTGCCCCTCCCTTAACCGCTGTGTGTTTGTGTTTTTTGGTTGTTTTCTTGTCTGCTGACAATGCATAAAATTTGAATAGCCAAACATCGAGCACAGCAACAGAAAATACATGTCAACAATGGCAGGGTACCGAAGCATTTTATACACTTTCTATGGAATCGATTGATTGGGTTTCAGCAGAGAGAAGAGACCAAGCGTATGGGCGACGAATATTACTTGTACTTAATGTAGCTTCATGGTGCTTCTCTCGCAGCATTGCAAACAGCTCAACAGTAATTGAATACCCTCTGCAAGGGTATGTGTATAACAAACAACATTAAGCTTGGTTTTTTTTTTGCACCTATATTTTGCTTTCTTGGTCACACTTATGCGCTATAGCAGCAGCAACAACAACTACCGTAAGCAAGCAAGCAAGCCCCCGTAGCCAGGCCCCTGACATTGCTCAGGGTCATGGGTGTGTAACTGTATAAAGTGGAAGCCAAATCTCATTAGCAGCTGCCTTTGCATAACGGAAGAGCAGAAACTACCAGAAGAGGCACAACAAAAGAGAGGCGAAAGAGAGAGAGAGAGAGTAAGTTGGACCTTGACATTGGCTTGGCTTGGGGTTACACTCCGCTGTGCATGCGAGTGTCAGTTTTTGACTTCAGTTCCACTTTTAGACTCTTTATACTCTACACTTTGTATCGTGTTGGTGTTGCTTCTCTTTTTTCTTCTTGCAGTCGAATCTGGCGATTGTTTTTGCACGTGACCTTTTAGCGGAACGCTGTGGATAGACTTAATATTTTTCAGCTATTTTGTCATGCCTCCTTGCAGCCTCCCCACCACGTGCAGATAACTATTAGAGGGAGTGGATACAAAACATAACAAGTGATTAAATTCCAAACAATTATTTCAAAGCTGAGGCGCTTTTAGGTTTTGATCGTTTGTTTAGCGGGCTTTTGTGCTTGTTGCTTTAACGCTTTGTTTTGTTGTTCCCGCAAATTACAATTATTTATGTATGTCTAGCACCTACACTCATTCATTCATACATATTTATGTACGTTTTTCTGTGGGTTTTCTCTTTGGGGACTGAGCTAATTACATCTCTAGAATAGTTTTGTTGCAAACTTTAAACGGATGTACATGCGATTGTGTGTTTTATCTACCACACAATTGAGGTACGATACGCGAAGTTTAACTACAATTAAATTCGCGTTTGACTTCTGTGCGCGGAGGGGCAGGTGAATTGGCAGTTGGCGAAAAGGGCGTGGCAATGCTATCGTTAATCAAGCAACTAATTAATGGCTCCTCTCTCCACTCCTCTCCTCTCCATTCCACTCGCTTACAATTGCCAGCCACAGGAATGACAACCACTTTATGCCCAAATAATCAATGTAATTAATTTGAATTAATTAAATTGCATCCAGAGTCGGGAGAGCACGGGCGAATAACTCGGGGCCATTCTATCACATTTAATCCAATTCTTAGAATTGATCATAAAATGCACATATAATCGAAAAAGAGAAAAGCCGCAACAAAGAAGTAATTAGTTTGAATGTGTGAATATGCCCCAAGCATGGTAAAAGTGCTGCAAAAATATCCCGCCATATCTGCGTTCTTGCGTGTGTTTAAATTCATTAACAGTGGACAGCCCCCCTGCCTGCCATTCGGAGGGGTACATGAATGCTGATGGAGTGGAAGAGATTGCGGAATAGCGTGTGTGTGGGCGGCGGTTCCTTGATTAATTTAAATGCGGCCTCTGGCTACGCTACTAATAAGATTAAGCGCTCTTATCAATTAGCTGCATGCATGCAAATTATTTATGCATTCCATTCAGCATTCACGAATGTGTAGTCTATCATTTTGCAGCCATTAATTTAACTAAAATTTAACTAAAGTGCATGCTGATTATTAATTATGTTGATGCCCAAACAAGCAGCCAGCGGAAGGGTAAAAATACGTTCGATACGTGGGAAATTCATGGGCCGACCACCCGTTGCGTTGAGTTGATTTATTATTATTAATTTAAAGCGCTCTCATAGTCCCCTTGTCTTGCCAACAATCAGCCAGCAGCCAGCAGCCAGCAGTTTATACATACATTTTTCCGAGTGTGTAAGTAGTTTTTAATGGAAGCATTCACAATGTATTTTTGCATATTTATTCTGCAGAATTTTGCAGTGGAACTTCCTGTTGCTCTTCTGTTTCTGTTGCAATTTCTCACTGGCTTTCGGCTTCTAATTACCTCTTACCACGCTCTCTCTCTCTCTGACTCTTTTAATCTTATCTCTCTCTCCATCTCTCCATCCCTCCATTTAGTTTTGGTTCACGCTGTAGAGCACAATTGTTTGTTATTAGCTTAATTGCACTCAGTGTGCTCTGGGTCTCATTAATAATGAAAGCGAGAATGAGGCAAAAAAGCTCTCAATGGGCTTAGGGCAGACAGAGATGGAGAGAGGCAGACATGTGGAGAGAGAGAGGGAGTAAGAGATGGAAAGACAGGTAGCTGGAATGCTCTACTGTTTCTATGGTGAGGGGACTACGTGACATAGATCACATTGGATACACCAATCCACTGGCTTATACTGTATGCTCCTACTCCTTATATGCAGCTCCCAAAGCCCACTCAAAATCCACTCTATATGCAGCTGCGCATCCCTCATGACGCAGATCTCACCTGCTGACGTCCTACCATCTAAATATATCGATCAGTTGGCCAAAAAATGCCGTCACACCGATTTCCGGTGCACATTAAGTGGGATGAGATTACTCGTCGTAATCGAAGCAAAGCAACGCGGGGTGTTTACTTTCGTTGCGTCCGAATATCTTACGTAATTTGACACGCACATAATTAATTAGAATTTCAAACATTTAGCATTTTTTTAGCCGCGATACCCCCGCGAGACAAAATGCAAATAAAAGCAAAAGTTATAACTGCCAAACAAATGCAAATGAGTCTGAATCATAACCGAGTAAACGATAAAAAGAAAACAACAACAGGCGGAGAGCCACTGAATCAGAAACAGATGGAAATGGAGATGGAGATGGAGACACGAGTATTTCTGCGAATATTTAGATAGCCAGAAGATGAAGATAATACAACTCGTACGACCGAACAGAACAGAGTTCTCAGTTCTTGTTATCATCATGCCGCTAAGAAGCAGAACCCCAAGCACATGGGCCAAAAAAATTAATCAGTTTGTCATACAAAACTGAACAAAGACACGAAGAAAATAAAACCTGTATGTGAATCCCATCCAGCCAGAAATCGAATCTCCGTCATTGTCTAACCCCAACCCTATGGTGAGCTCCACTGTGATCGCAATCAGAAAAATAAATCCGTTCCAAGTCTTGTATCATTATATCATTAGAATAAATATAAAGCTGATTGGGCAGCCATTAACAAAGCAGAGGACAACACACCGACGTCGCTCATCTGTACGTACGTGTAAAATAAACTAAAAATAAACAATAAATATCTCAGAAATTCTGGCTACTGTTGTACATTTTCAAAACATTAAGTAATAATGCACCACCCAGTGGAAGTTGTAATATAATAAAATGCTTTTGTTTACAGTTACCCAACTCGGCTCCCAAACATTTAATTAGTGGGAAAGTGGGAAATTTTGGGGTAGTCTTTCCCTCACTACCTTTTCCCATTTTGCGAAAAACTTTTAAAGCAAACGAAGTTGCTCCAAAAATGGTTCACAGTGCACTGGGAAAAGTTTACACCACATTTAGGTCTTATTTAATGGGCCAGATTATGAAATGAAATGCAGGCCAAGTTTGTTTAGAACTCGATGAGTGTTTTGTTTTCGCTTTGCCTGGGGTTCGGTAGTTGTGGTCAGTGGCCTACACCTTACCTTGTCCAGTTGACTGCGTCGCTCAATCATCTTGAGGCTGCCTTTATTAATGATCTGATCTGAACTGATCTGATCTGGTCGGGTTTAGCTTTGACTCTGCCCCTCAAAACACACACTTGAGTCACTTTTCACTTGAGATTGCACGCGAATACGCAAACTCTCTGGCTGGAGACAGATGAATAATTATTTGCTTGACTAATTTCCGCCTAATCGCGAAACTTCTTTTTTTTGGGTTGACTTTTTTGTGGCATGAATTGAAGCGGTGCTCAATGCGCAACCGTCTCGCGTTGTATGAAATTCGCAACTGAACTGAAAGCCAAGCACTTAAGAGTCTCTTACCAACACTCAAGCTTCAAGCCGCAAAGCCCCAAGCCCCAAGCTCCAAGCCTCTCCTTGCCTGCCCACCTCAAGCCGGCAACGAAGCGTCTCACGTTTTGTTTTCTTTTTCTTTTCGTTTCGTTTTTTCGTTTTTTTCTTCTTGTTTTTTTTATGCTTTTTGTCTTTTTCTCGCATTTTTAGCGAGCGGCTGGAACGGGAGGAGGCTGTGAGCGGGTGAGCGGGTTGCTGGGCGAGTTTTTCAGTCTCGGTCGGCGCCTAACGTGTTTGCTATGGGCAGCCAGCAGGAGTATAGAGTGCCCGAGGGCCCATCTGAGTGTCCAAGCACGTACATGGCTCAGCTGTTTTCTGTACGCTGTGCGCGTGCGCAGTCGCAATAATTTCGCTCTGTGTAGACAGATGTTGACGCTGACGAGCGGGCGGGCTGCCGATATGCCATAGATCGTGCGATTGATACTCTTTCCCATAAAACGGGTATAGCTGTGCCAGAAATGGTATATGCTTCAGGTGGTCTATCAAGTGAAACTGAATAAAGTTTGGGTTTTGGGTGGAACCTTCAAAGAATTTTAGTTTCGTTTTTATATTCCGCTAATTGCTTACTTAATTTCGATACCGAATTGAGGGTATTCAAGATTCTTGCTTAATATTGCGCTGTGTGCCCATTTGAAGTTATTTTTTGTTCCATCTCTGTTGATTTTCTGTCGAGTGGTGTGAAAAAGGTGGCCTCAACAAACAGTCAGGCATGAGTGGCTGCTAACTGATTTGTGGCTGTTGGTCTGCGATTGCTTGATGGCAACTCTTTAAAAAAAAGACCGCTGTGCTGTGTAACCGATTAGTAACTGAAACTAAACTCGCTTTGAAGTTTGAAGTGTGCCTCCTGTGGACTGACTTTCTTTTCCGCATATGCGGCAATCAATACGCCATGCAGCACAGAGTGCAGTGGCCACAATTAGCGGCACCAAAACACTAAAACTTTCACTTGGCCCCAGTCCAGGGCGGGTGCATCACTCATACGCGCCGCACGGCACTCGAGAGATCGGTTGAGGGGGTTCAAATATTTGCTGTAGTTACCTTGTTTGCAATTAGGTTCACACTTGATTGGCTTTACTGGCGGGCGCCTGGATAACTTTCCGGTGCTTCTCGTAGTTTGGTTTTTGCTTTATCGACTGTGTGCTCGATGGTTTAGAAACTTTTCCCGACTGACACTAGCCCTAGCGGGTCCATTGTTATTTATTGGCAAATGCAGGAATTACTGCCGAAATTGATATTGATATTTATTGAAGCATGTGCATGGACAGCTCTTAATTGCTCGCCCATTTAAATCCACACGAACACACACAAAAAACGACTCAATGTGAATGAGGGCATGACAAATGATAAATCAGAAAAGAACAAACTCAAATCGATAGGGAAAACCAGTCGCAGTCGCTAATGGTCCAGCCAGATCCGAACAGGGATGAGATGTGTGTCCCCCAAAATCAAATTGGAGTTTAATTCGCACACTGACTTCCTGCATAATATATTTTGGGAAGGCGGAGGGGGAGGGCCAAGGACAATAATTGGTCCTGGAGCTGTACGTGATTCTATTGCGGAACAAGCTACCGGGAAATGCTTGAATAAACGCAAGATTTGCGGCATTCGGACTGCCGCCGACACAGATGAATGTGATTGGATGTCGATTGGGCATGTGAATTCACACACACACACACACACACACAGACACACTCAAACACGTGAATCGAATCCATTTAGCAATTCAATTTCGTTGCCCTCTGCATCCCTGTGTGGCGGCCACACAATCAACAGAATTATTGCACAGATTATTACTGCCAGCCACAAGTTCATCTTCAATATTGTGGTCACGACTCTCCATGCTCCATATACTCGCTTGCTCAAACATAGAGGCCTGTACCGGGTACTCCCCGAGCGGAAATTGTGTCGTTGCTGCCGCTGGGCTCTCTGCTTTTTGTTTGGCTTGCAATTATGCGAATCTACTTAATGGATGTCGCCAAGTGCACGCTCCACTCCACTCCACCAGGCCACACCCCGCCTCGCACATTGTTTTTCAAGTTTATTTTTACAGCACGCAGAATGTGTTTTGATAATTGCCAGCCCGTGACCTTAAACATAAACAACTTAAGCTTGGGTTACGTGAAGTTGGGCTCGCTGTGCGGCTGTGCGTCATTGAGCTGTGGCATGTAATGTGTTTGCTCGAAGCCAACAAGCTTCAGCCATTACCCCCCTCAAGCACCACTTCAACCGCAAAAGTCAAAGACTTCAATGAGACGTCACTGAGTCTTGTCTAAATTCTGTAATTGGTAGCAGTTAATCGGCTCTTTTCTGTTTATTTTGCTGGCTCTGCTGGATCTCCTGTCTTCATTCGCATTATCAAAATGAATCGTGGCTGATTGATAACGTCCAATGAAGTGCTAACAACAATTGGCTGTCAAGCAAATATAGAAGCTGAAAGCACACTACAAATTATGATCTTTGTCCCCGTCTCTGTCTGCAATTATTCTGCCATATCTGTTCCACTGAGTGCCTACGCCATGTTCCCCCACTCTGAGGCTCTTCCGACATGCATTTGATGATCGCAAAATGAGCTTTAAATTGCTGGGGTAATTTTCGTGTGATTTTGGCAAATGCTTGACTCTGGCTTAAATAATCGCCGAAATATGTCAAGGTCGTCATGGATGTACACATCTCTGTGTATTATTTCCAATTGGAAAACAGAGGGAAATTTGGCTTGTATCAGCTGAAATCCATTGGCTTGCAACAGCATTTTGCAGCTGTATTGATTGCCACAATTTGCAGCATTTAAAGACCAGCATGCAGTAGCCTGCGTTGAAATCTTTTGCAGATTGTGCCGCATTCAGCAGCGCACAAAGGCCCAGTAGAGCTTTAAAACATGTATGCTGGATTTCCTTTGCCAGCGATGAATATACTCTCTGTACACGGATATCGCTTAGGGTATTCCCACTTCGAGTTGTATACATTTTGGTGCAATATTGCTGCCCTTGATGGACAAGCGGTTGACCCAACCAGTGCTAAAAATATTCACAATTTCCATTGATTTTGCATCCACAAAAACTGAAAGCTTTTGGTGGTTGTCAAATGTGGCATTTCCTGCAACTAAATTCAGTCATCAGTGGAATACTTGAGCCAGAGCAAAGGAGACAGAGAGAGAGCGAGAGAGAGAGAGAGTGCGTAAAGAGTGGCCCCTAAGTGAAACGCCACATTTAACTGTAAATCGCATTAAAACATGTTTAAAAGACATCAAATCACACGTTATCAGCTTCATGCCCAACCGAAGGGCTCACATTGTGGCACGTGATTGAGTGTGTGTGTGTGTGTGTGTGTGTGGGCGTGGCCATACGTCATCAGCATAAGTGTCCCTGGCATCTCCATGCCGATCATCATCTCATTACTGTCATTTTGCCGGGGCGCCATTTAAAAATTTCAATTGTTGTGTTTGCACTGACGGCAAATCCCCCCCCCCCCCCCCCGCACGGGGGTGGCAGGCACGTGAGCCGCTGCCTCGCCTTCGAATTGAGCCCTTGGTAATGCGACCAAATCGATGAGGAGGCTGTTGCGCCTCCTTATTTATTCATTTAATTCGCTTATTCATTGCTTTTCATCGCTCAGTTGTCGCCCACGTATACTTATGCGTATGCGTATGCGTATACGTAATATGTATAATGCATGTGTCTTCTGGGCTCCCAGGACACGCATCATTACCATTTACATGCGATTAAAGTCAGTTGCAGAACTTCGCCCCATGGGATAGGAAGAATAAAAACCATTTATGCGATCGCTTAACTCTCAATTCCTTTTGTGTTATTCTCGCCGAGTGGACAGCTCAGCATGCAGGTCTGATGATGAGAGTAGACTTAACACAGTACTCTGTATCCTGTTTAGAGTAAGGAATTCAAATAGAAATAGAAATAGAAATAGAAAACCCAATGCAGCAGAGAAAAGAGAAAAGAGAAAAAAGCATCCTAGCGTCCATTAGGCTTCAATGGGACTAACGAGTCTAAACCCTTTGAGCAAGTATCAGCAGAATCTTGTAGTTAGTTGAGAAAAAAGAGCTACACCAGCTACTCTGCTTAATTCAATTAAATTCACTGCTTTACACTGCTTTAACACAGCTGCTAGAAGCCAATGCAACTGCTTGATGTCTAAACTGTAAGGCAAATCAGATTCCACTCGGATTAAACATTTAAAGCAGTGCCGTTATAACATGCAATCCACTCTTTAACTCTCTCGCCCTCTCTATTTATCTACCAAGCAGTAGACGGGAGCTGTCACTCGATGTCGCCTGTGTTCTCAGTTAAAAATAATCCCTTTTGGCCAAGTCAAAACTTGCTTGGCTGTGGGTGTGTGTCCCACCCCCACACTCGTGCAACGAAAATCCTTTTCTTCGACCTTTCTTTCGTCTTGCCACGGCCATGCAAAATATGAAGTTGGCTCTGCGGCAGGGCACAAATAACACTCATTAGCCATAATGAGTTATAGTTGGACTAGGCGCCGCATTGGACACGAAACACTCTTTAGCGGCAATTATGCGGTACAACTGCGGGCGGGGGGCAAAGCGCATAAAGCAGTGCCTGGCTTCGGTCTGGTCTTGGTAGTCATAAAGTTTTGAGCTATAAATACTCAACGTACTTTGCCCAATAACCTTTAGGCCAGAGAACTACAAATAAAGCAGGAGCGAGAAAGAGACTAAGAGAGCAAAAGAGAGGGAGAGAGAGAGAGAGAGGTAGCTTAGAAGACCACAAATTGTTTGACATTTGGTACACTGAACACTGAACACTGAACACTGGCGGTCTGCCTACTGAAGACTGAGTACCAAGGACTGAGCACTGGCTGGCACTCCCTGTCAAGCGCAATCCTTTTCAACATCTGCCGAAACGAAGTAACTCTGCTGCTGAAGCATATGTCCCTGTCCCTTGCGCTCAC